TTCATTATATTTATAATTTTTAAGAAAACTATTTGGCTCTTTTCTCTTATTTTCAACTTATTTCTCTTAAATATATTATTAGGCTCGAAGCATTAAATACAGAACGATTTGAGAAATATATGGACAATTAACACGAATCATCCCAATTGAGATACATGTTCGCAAGTACTTCATAGTCACTTGGTAATCTCCGTCACTTGTAGCTTTTAATCGAGTTGATACCTCAGGCGCAATTCCTGCGGCATATTTGCGGAGGCATATCCAAGCTCTCTGTCATCAGCAGTTTCTATAATTGAATCGACGTTACCGGGATTGTAATTCATTTTTCAGATTCCGTAATACATGGACAAAATGAAACAGCAACAGATAACCAAAATGAAGTAATACTGCAGACTTTAATGGATGTACATGGTACTACAAACATTGCTTCAACTGCAACTGATAAAGAAATAAATAATAATGGTATTTCGTAATTTACTAAAATATCAATATTTTGTTATATGGGTATATTTATTAATTTATTATTTATAGGCTTTCATGATAACGATAAGGAAAATCGGAATATAAATAATATTGAAACTAATAATTCGATTCCGGATCGCCCCCGTAACAATTATAAGGATCTTGAACCCCATCACCAGGAGGGTACATATTTATAGATACATGTATATGGAATATATCGGCTGTGTTCAGCAGAGAAAGCAGCTTTACAATTTCTGTAAAAATTCTTTATAATGTGATTAGTCTTGCACTTAGTTCCTCACTGGATTTAAATAAATAAACCAATCATATTCAAGAATTTTACAGTTGCAAAACTGTTTTTCTTGCTGAACGCTACCATCTATAAAGAATAATAAATAATATAGTAATATCAAGACTTACTCTCTGTGACTAAATTTCCACCGAGGGTTCCAGTTGAGTCGGAGTGTGGGAATTGACTAATCACAATCAAGTATTCCTTATAGTCGAATGAGAAAGGAATGTTCGACTGTGGTTGGTCGGTTTATGCACTCTGACCCAACTCTAACTCTCAGCAGAAACTTTTAGTCTGTATGAAGTTTTATAATTTATGAACATAATATTTAAATGATACATATATTCAGATCCAGAAAATATCACTGGGAACGAATTTGCTGTTCCAATAAGAAATAATTTATTTGCACAAAACGTGATATTCGACGATCTGCCATCAGGTATTTCTAAACATTTCTTATTTTATTATTTAAACTATAATATATATAATAACATTAATATTAATAGTATTATATAATATAATATAATATAATTCAGATAGTCACAATATCATTAAGATTTTGGAGAATACAATAGCAATTAAGAAGCAGTTGGATCAACAAAATGCGTTTTTGGAACAATTAAAAAAAGAAAGTGCACCGGTAACGTTCGCAACAGCAGGCCCGAATTCTAATAATTTGTCTATCATTCCAACAAAACCCTTCAAAAAGTTGAAAAAATTGCTGGAATTTGACACTTCATTGAAGACTAATGTAGATGGTAAAAAACAACTGGTAATATAATATAAGAAGTATTAATAAAT